CAATCCCCAGTACAAAAAAAAACACCAACAAAAAAACCCCCAAAGCCTTAAATCCTTGTTTCTCTGTGAAAATTCTATTTTCTTACTTCCATTCCTTCTTTAAAGTGTATAGTCTAAACCAAGACATGGTGTACCAAAACCATAGTGTACAGAGGTCTTCTTTAAGCTTCTTTTGATCATATTGTTCCCTAACCACACATCTGGCATTGGTTTCCCTGTTGTAGATTACTCTGGCAGCTGTGTTTACTAATCTTAACTTGTTTTCTCATTCATTTCTCATCCATGTTGTCTTAATATAATAAAATTATATTCAGCCGGGCATGGTGGCACACACTTGTAATCCCAGTGGCTCGGGAAACTGAGACAGGAGAATCATGAATTTAAAACCAGCCTCAGCAATAGCGAAGTGCTAAGTAACTCAGTGAGACCCTGTCTCTAAATAAAATACAAAAAGGGCTGGGGATGGTGCTCAGTAGTTGAGTGCCCCTGAATTCAATCCCTGGTACCAAAAAAAAAAAAAAAGATAAATAAAATGTACAGTTTTTAAGGGTTCAGTTCAGTGAATTTTTAACAGTAATATAAACCCATGTAACTACAAGCTTTAAAACATTTTCATCCCTTTCCCCCACCCCAGAAAGTTCTGTACTTTAGTTTTGCTTGTTTTAGAACTTCATATAATAGAATGATACGGTACAGATAGATAAATTTTTTTTTTTTTTTCTTATTGGAGACAGGGTTACTATATTCCCTAGGCCAGGCTGAAACTCTCAATCCTGCCAACCTCCCACATAGCTGGGATTACAGGCATATGTCACCATGCCTGGCCAATATATAATTGTTGTGTCTAGATTCTTTCAGTATTATATCTATTGTAATGTGTATCTACAATTTGTTCCTTTTTAATACTGAATAGTATTCCATTAGATAATTATATCATAGTTGTTTATCCATTCTTCTGTTGATAGGCATTTGGGTTGTTTCCAGTTTCTGGCTATTATGAATAAGACTTCTGTAAACATTGTTATACAAGTCTTTTTGTGGATAAATGTTTTCATTTCCTTTGGATAAATACCTAGGAATAGAATTACTCGGCCATGTGGTAGGTATATATAACTTTGAAAAGAAACTGCCAAACAGTTCTCCAAAGTGTTGCACTGTTTTGCCTTCCCACCTGCAATATCTGAACATTTCACTTTCTCTGAACCCTTGCCAATTTCTACTGATCTCATTTCTTAGCTATTCTTGTGGGCATGTTACCTCATTCAGGTTACATTGATCGTTAATTTTCACTCACCATAGCATTTTGTCATAGTCTCTTGTATTTGGACAGTAATATTCAATATGGCACTTCTTTGTGTGCTGGTTTGTTCTTTTTTTGTGTCTTAATTGTTTCTTGGCTGTAAAATCTTCACTTTAAGAAGCCTGGATCACAGCTGGGTGTGGTGCTGCATGCCTAGAATCCCAGTGACTTGGGAGTTTGAATTAAGAGGATTGCCAGTTTGAGGCCAGCCTCAGCATCTTACTGAGGCCCTAAACAACTTGGCAAGATCATGTCTCAAAATAAAAAATTAAAAGGTCTGGTGATGTGGCTCAGTGGGAGAGTGCCTCTGGGTTCAATCCCTGTTACCCAAAAATAAATAAATAAATAAAAGGGGCTGGGGATATAGCTTAATGGTAGAGTGTCCCTGGGTTCTCCCCCCCGTACCCCACCCCCACAATATTAACTAGTATTTATGTGATAAAGGAATATAATTTTATAAAAAATTTAAACAGAGATAAAGGGAGAGTTACCCTTGATAAAGCCTTCTCTCAAACCACCGCCCTTTTTAAAAAATAATCACAATTAAGAGGGGTATGTATATTTCTAATTCTTTTTTTTGTGCATATTCATGTGTCTGCATATAGAAAATGTTATGTAATTATACATTCTTTAAAGAATTATACATCATTTATGGGGTTGGGGTTGTGGCTCAGCAGTATAGTGCTCGCCTAGCATGAATTAGGCACTGATTCAATCCTTAGCACCACATAAAAATAAAAGGTTTATGTCCCCCTAAAGCTAAAAAATAAATTTAAAAAAAATCTTTAATAAAAAAGAATTATACATCATTTAGATATTTCCTTATTATATAATGTATAATTGTATAGCTGTACCATTGTTTAATTTTTTGCGTTTTTTATTAGTGCAAATCATTTATACATAATAGTGGGGTTTATTTTGACACATTGATAAATGCATATAACATGATTTGCTCCATTTCAATCCCCTGTACTTCCCCTTTCTCTGACAGTTTTCTTATAACAGGTTTTACTAGGCTGTTTCTAGTGATATGCTTTCACAAATGTCACTGCAATAAACCTTACATGTGCCTCTGGATACATGCCCAAATTTTTCCTCCAAGTTGGTAACCTAGAAATGTAATTAATTGAAGAGTCTTTACATAGCCAGATTGATGACAAATACATAGATGTGATTCTTGCAACTCAGGAGGCTGAGGAAGGAGGGTCAGGTTTGAGACCAGCCTCGGCAACTTATCCAGACCCTGTCTCAAAGATAAAAAGGCTGGGGATGTAACTTAGTGGTAATGCACCTTTGGATTCAATCCCCAGCATCAAAAAATTAAATTTAATTTTAAAATTAAAAAGGGTAGGAGATGTGACTCAGTGGTAGTTGCCCCTGGTTTAAATTTCCAGTACCACACACATACCAAAAGAGAGAGAGAAAAAAATAAAGGACTTTCTGGTATCCTAGAGAAGTTTTTGAAATATCTGAAAGGTGACTTCTAGTGTTGATATTTATTCTGGAGCAGTCTTTCTGACTTGAAGGAATACTTAGAATACCTCTCATTCTTGTATCATCCAATAAAAAACAAAACAATATTCTTACTGATTTGGATTGTGGAGGGGACAGAGGGAGATGGCTTGTGGAAACAGGAGGATCTAATTGTTCACAGAATCTTGCCCTACCAAAGTCATCCACAGCCTAAAACTGTTTGATAATACAGTTATGATCAAAGCCTTCTGATTCTCCAAAGCAACCTTGCTGAGAATGTCCATCTCTTAGAAGTCAACAGAGAATAGGACAGTCTGTTTTACCTAGAAGATAAATTATATTTTGGATTATAGGACTTATAATAACATTTGCCTTTCAGACGCTGACTGGAAAGGAAATTGAGATTGATATTGAACCCACAGACAAGGTGATGTATGCCCAACACCCTTCTCCTTGCCTGTGTCTTTGAGTGTGCTTATGAACTTAGTCCATTTGCTGTCATGCTATCTGTATAGTTCTTGTTCTTCCCATTTCCATGGTTCTTTCCTCAAGCAGCCTCTGACTACTTGCTATCTAAAGGTGGAGCGAATCAAGGAGCGTGTCGAAGAGAAAGAGGGAATTCCCCCACAACAGCAGCGGCTCATCTACAGTGGCAAACAGATGTGAGTTTGGAGGGAAAGTTAGGGTAAAGTGATGTTATGTGAAAAGGAAATGGGGACAAGTGCTTGAGATGGGTCAGGCCTGCCTCTTTCTTGCGCTCTCTCTCTCTCTTTTCTCTCTCTCTCTCTCTCTTTTTTTTTTTTTTTTTTTTTTTTGGTAGTTGTAGATGGATATGGTACCTTTAACCTTTATTTTATTTTTTTTATCTTTATGTGGTGCTGAGGATCGAACCCAGGCCTCACACATGCTAGGCAAGCACTCTACCACTGAGCTACAATCCCAGCCCTTCTTTTTTTAATTATTTTTTTGGTGCCTTGAACCCTTTGGCGGTTTGATAAAGCTTATAGAGTACTTCTCTGGACAGAGAAATTTTTTTAGTATAGAATAAAATATGTGGAATTAGAAAGGAAACTAATTATATTGAACTACAGTTATCAAATTATGAAAACAAATGTGGTATAATAACATGTGCTTCTTTAATAATAAATAAGATCTAGTAGTGGGTCTAATAACTGCTGTAATTTTGAAATATTTTCAAGATACCTGCAAACATTGTAATATGATATGGACATATCTAATTTCTGTTGTTAACAAGTTACTTACATTGCCAATGCTACTATGAGTTTTTATACTTTTTTTTTTCCTATTTTCAAAATTAAAAGAAATAGTTAGAGGTTAGTAAAAATAAAGGTTGAATTTTTTCTCATTCAAGTTCACAGACTTCCCAGAGAGAACCATGAAACCCAGATTAAGAAACCTTGTTCTAGCTGGGCATACTGGCTCAGCCTGTAATACTAATAACTCAGGAGGCTGAGGCAGGAGGATCGTAAATTTGAGACCAGCATCAGCAATTTAATGAGACCCTAAGCAACTTAGTGAGATCCTGTCTTAAAAAGACTGAGGATGTAGCTCATTGCCCCTGGGTTCAATCCCCAGTATCAATAAACAAACAAACTTTTTGGGCTGTGGATGTAGAGGATGTAACTTAGCAGCTTAAGGATATAACACTAGTTTAGCATGCTTGAAGCCTTGGGTTTGATCCCCAGCATGACCCCCCCCCAAAAAGAGAGAGAGAACACCTATTCCAGATGGTATTTCTAATGCTTCTTTTGCCCCTCTGTAGGAATGATGAGAAGACAGCAGCTGATTACAAGATTCTAGGTGGTTCAGTTCTCCACCTGGTGTTGGCTCTGAGAGGAGGAGATAGTCTCAGGCAGTGACGGACCTTCCTTCCAGTTCACCTCCTTATGCTGTTGCTCATAATGAGGCATCATATATCCTGTCACTCTCTGGGACACCAGAGCCACTCCCCCCTCCCCTGGATGCCCAGTTTTGTGTGTGGTGGGAGAATATGAGGACCCCAGGATGCAATGTTCCTGGCCCAAAGGGCCCCTGCTGGCTATTGGATTTTAATTTGCAGTCCTGTGTGCTTCCCTCTCTTATGGCTGTGTCCCTAGTTGTCAATAAAATTTCCTGGCCTCCTGTAATCTTTTTCTGTTGCACAAATGTGACTGAAATAAAAACAGACCCAATGATAACTATTTACACTAGGTTTAAGGAGCAGTACCATGAAGAGCTGGTGCCCTTAGAGGGATTATCACACTCTAGGAAAGCCCACTCAGGTGTATGTTGGTGAGGCTGGTTCATGAGAGCCACTTCTTGCCACCTATTTCCAACTCCATGTAAGTGACTTTGTGTTGGTGGAAATTCGCCCTGATAGGAATAATTATAGAAACTGGCATGTTAGTTCCTTTCCACAACCTGGTTGTTGCACATCTGTTAACATACTACTGAAGTGAATAGTAGTAGCCAGGAGAAAAGGTTTTCTCACACTGTGGCTCTGACTCTACATTTGTACCTAGTTGGAGAAAGCCTGAAGGGCTTTACAGACCTTACATTCTTTTTGTTTATTTATTTATGTTTTAGATGAGCCTCTAAAAGTGAGCCTCTTGCTTCAGCCACCTGAATAGCTAGAACTCTAGGCGTGCACCACTGTACGTGGCAACAGACACTACACCCTTCTCCTTGCCTGTGTCTTTGAGTGTGCTTATGAACTTAGTCCAATATCTGTATAGTTATTGTTCTTCCTATTTCCATGGTTCTATCCTCAGTCTCTGACTACTTGCTCTCTAAAGGTGGAACGAATCAAGAAGCTCTGCGACAGCCAAAGACTCTGAGTTAGAAACTATCAATAGGCCAATGTAGAGAAAGGTTGAGAAGGAGTGATAAGCTGGGATGGGATATTCAGTCTCGGTAAGGTAAAAGGGCTGGTGTTTTTAGAAGAAAGGATTTCCCTTCCTTGGCTTCTCTAGTGAAAACTGGTTGGAGTGAAAAAGTTAAGGGGAAGATGCCTGTGGCTAGTGCCTTAGACGATTCCCACCCCTATATCTCCGGTCACTTTGGTGCGGGGCTGCAGGCCTTTCCCCGTGCCGCAGCAGAAGGCGCTCTTGCGCGATCGCCATTCTGGCTGCGGGAGCTCAGCGACGCTCTAGTCTCTTTTCTCTGTGGCATCCCGGCGGCTTCTTTGGCCTCTGCAGCATTGCGGGTTCTCCGGCAGGGGAGAAAACGCCAACTTGGCACGCAGCCTCCGGGACCGAGGCATGGCACGGCTCCCGAAGCTCGCAGTCTTTGATCTGGGTGAGGAACGGGCAAGAATAGTTTCGTAGGGCATGCTCCTTTTCCCTCGCCAGCGGTAAGCCGACTCCTTGCGCACCCCAAGGCTGAACCTCCCTCGCTCTTCCTCTCGTAGATTACACGCTGTGGCCTTTTTGGGTCGACACGCACGTAGACCCCCCATTCCACAAGAGCAGGTGAGGCAGGGTATCGGAGGACTAGGCGAGTTGCGATGCCGCCGGAGCTGAGTGTTTTCTCATCCTCTCTAGTGATGGAACTGTCCGGGATAGTCGGGGCCAGAACATTCGGTTGTACCCGGAGGTGTCTAAGGTCCTAGAACGGTTACAGGACCTTGGGGTGCCCGTCGCAGCGGCTTCCCGGTAAGAAGAGGGAGTAACAACAATCCCTGTAAATGCTGAAGGATGCATGCACGGGGAAACATTTCACATAACCGCTTGAGTACTAAAATTTAGGGGGTGCAAATTTCAGATTATGTGCATATTTTTCCTAATTGTACATCCTCCTGTGCATTTTGGTTACTAAACGTGGGCTAACCGCCAGCTATGGTCAAACAGAAGTCTGTGGAGTTGAATGAGGGCAGAGGAAGCCTAGCCTTCCTGGAAAAACAGCAAAGTGGTTTCCCCCTGGTTATATTTAACTTTGCTTGCAGTTCTTCAATACTTGGCCTTTCACTCTCCTATCCCATCTATTATACCTTTCTGCAGGACAGGTGAGATAGAAGGGGCGAACCAACTACTGGAGCTCTTTGACCTTGTTAGATATTTTGCTCATCGGGAAATTTATCCAGGCAGCAAAGTCACACACTTTGAGAGGTAGGTGGAAATAAGGGTAGGAGCCAGCAGGGAGAGTACCAGAGAGGCCAAGATTCCAGCTTGGTTACCCCTGCTCTTTCTTGCACAGGTTGCAGCAGAAGACTGGGGTTTCTTTCGCCCAGATGATCTTCTTCGATGATGAGAAGCGAAATATTGTAGATGTTGGTAAACTGGGTATGAGCAATGAGGAGAGCCATTTGGGGAATGAGAAGAAAGTAAGAAAGTGTTCCTAAGAGGGTATTAGGTAGTTATGTGCAGGGTGGATGGTCTGCATGACAGGTGACACCCACAAAAGGTGAGTAATAATGGAAAGGCCTAAAAAAGCTGATGAAATGTGACTTATTTTCCTTATAGGTGTTCTCTGCATTCACATTCAGAATGGAATGAGTCTTCAAACCCTAGCCCAAGGGTTAGAAACATTCACTAACTCTCAAGCTGGGCACTGAGGTCCAGCCCTGAGGATGAGCCTCATTTGAAGCCTAAAATGGAAAGGAAACGGAGAAGGCATTTTTTTCAGGTGCATTTGCAATTTATTAAAGTGTATCTATGTGTGGGTTGTTTTTATTTTTCTAGTGTGTGAACTGGGGCTGGTTGTCGACCTGAGGTGCCCAGAGTGGAGTGTGAGACAGGTTCTGCCATATAGATTGTGGCAGCCCAAAGGTTGTGACTCCTTCATTCTGGAACCCATCCCCACGCCATTTACTGAGGGGCCTGAAGAATTTTCCCACTACCCCAATGGTGGGTGCTATTATGCTGTACGTTCCCTTCCACGGAACAAAACCAGTTGTAGTAGAAAGTGAAGCGGCCGCTTTAAGAGGAGCGCGTCAACCTGGGGATGGTGGCCCTGGTCACATGACAGCAGTGGTCTCCTTTGCGCTTGTTGATGATGTCGCCGCGGCGCCTTAAGGAGGGATTGGCCAAGGCCGGCCTACTCTCCAGGAGCGAGGCGGAAGTGCCGGGCACGCGGAGGGGCGGAGGCGGGAGAGGCGAGGACGCAATGAGTGGGCTCGGCAGACTCTTCGGGAGGGGTGAGATTGGGCCGCCTAGAGATGCTGGTCGGAGTGGGGGGTGGGGGCGACCGCGGCGCCCCGCCGGGGAAAAACCTCAGGAGTCAGGCGGACCGAAGACACCAGCCCGAGTTGAAGCCAGACTCATCTCTGGTGCCAATAGGCCCCGCCTAGTCTGGGCGCCTTGCTCCCTCCCGCTTGTCTTCCAGGATCCCTAAGTCTTGAGCTTGTGGTCAAGGAGAGGGGCCGTGAGTGGAGAGCATGGCGACTGAGCTGGTTCCCACCGCACAGGCTAGGGGTTACTAATTTCCAGCAGCCTCTATCCAGTCCTTTCCAAAATACTGATGGTTACTTAGCTGGGCAGTCGAGACCTAAGGTGAAAGACTACCTTCTGGAAGCTCATGTCAAGGGGAACACAGGCCATTTGTGTAGTATAGCAACTCAATAATAGACATTCCTAAAACACTAGGGAAGCACAGAAGTAGGTGTCGGCGGTGTTCCACCAGGCTAGCAGTTTGCTATGTGGAGTACTCCAGAAGTGGTAACAAGCATCACAAAACATAGGCAGGAGAGAGATATATGGGGGAAAAGTTTTGCCTGCCGTAGTGTACGTGATTAGAAGAGGAGAGAAAAGTAAAGGGAAGGCCTTCGGTCTCCCTAGAAAGTTTTGGATTTTGTCCTGTAGGTAATGGAGAGTAGGGAAGGATTTTGCCCAGAGAAAGGTGTCAGATTTCTATTTGGGAAAATGAGTGTTGTATAGAAGATGAAGGGAGAAACTATTCTTTTTTTCCCTCTAGCCTTTTGTACTTCATTTAGTTTGATATTGTGGGATTAAGATCTTTGGCATCTCCTAGGACAGCAAATGAAAATAGTGGTTGTTAAAAGTGACTGGAGGGGCTGGGGCTGAGGCTCAGTGGTAGAGCGCTTGCTTAGCATGTGTGAGGCACTGGATTCAATCCTCAACACTACATAAAAATAAATAAATAAAGGTATTTAAAAAAAAGTGACTGGAGTCAGTTGAGTGCAGTGGTGTAGGCCTGTAGTCCTAGCTACTCAAGAGGCCGAAGCAGGAAGATCGTAAGTTCCAGGCTAGCTTTGACAACTTAAACCCTGTCTTGAAATAAAAAATAAAAAGAGCTGGGGATCTAGCTCAGTGGTACAGCACTCTGAGCTCAATCCCCAGTACCGCCAAAAGGGGTGGTGGTAGCTGGAAATTACTTCAAAGAGCAAAAAGAGTATTGGCTTTCAAAGTCATTGTGCCACATTTTGGATTCCTACTAAACTTCTTCTTGTGATTTTAGACAAAAAAAAAAAATAAAAAATAACACCTTTGTGCCTGTTTTCAGATTTTTAAAGTGAAGATAGTATACTCATTGTAGATAATCATTTAGAGATTAAGAGTCAAGTGCCTGGCACATACTGTGCACTCAACAATTGGTGGGTAATATTTTTCTTTTACACAACATGGGTCTGTGTTGCACTGGACTCTTCAGGGAAGAAGGAAAAGGGGCCAACCCCTGAAGAAGCAATACAGAAACTGAAGGAGACTGAGAAGATACTGATCAAAAAACAGGAGTTTCTGGAACAGAAGATTCAGCAGGAGCTACAAACAGCCAAGAAGCATGGGACCAAGAACAAAAGAGGTAATAAGGGAAAGGAGCCACTGGGGAGGGCCCAGGTGGGAATCGGGTATTTCTGACTCTGATGTTCAGGATGTGGGCTGGGTCAGCTGCCCTGCAGGCTTTGCGGAGAAAGAAAAGATTGGAACAGCAGTTGGCACAAACCGATGGAACATTATCCACCCTGGAGTTTCAGCGTGAAGCGATTGAGAATGCCACCACCAATGCAGAAGTGCTTCGTACTATGGAGGTTGCTGCTCAAGGCATGAAAAAAGCCTACCAGGACATGTAGGTACGGGGCAGAGGAGGAGAGTACCTATACACTGGGAAGGATGGTTTGGGATTATACTTTCAAGGTTTTTTTTGTTTTGGTAACACTGGGGATTGAACTCAGGACCTTCCACATGTGAGGCAAGCACTTTACCACAGAGCTACACCCACAACTTAACACTTTCAACTTTAAAGCCTTTCAGAATATGAACTTGTGTAAACTTGTAATAAGAAGACCTGTCTGCCTCCTTGATTCCTTCAAGAAAGATCCTGTTGCTGGGCCATTCATTCTAGGGAGAAAAGATGATTTCTTTAATTTTTAAAGATCATTAGCACAGCCTGTACTTTCCATTGTGGCTTTTTGCTGTTCCTTGGCCCAGACTTGATTCTACCTTTTTTCCTGCCATCAATTTATTAGTATGAGGCCACAAGACAGAAGGGTTTCATTCATGTGATATAAGGAATTCGGGGTAGGGGTCTTGCCTGATTTCTTCACTGTACATCTTGTTCTCAGGGACATTGACAAGGTGGATGAATTGATGGCTGATATCACAGAACAACAGGAACTGGCCCAGCAGATCTCAGATGCCATTTCTCGGCCTGTGGGCTTTGGAGATGATGTGGATGAGGTAATGGGGGGTGAGGGGTCAGGGACTATTAGAGAAGCTGAGACTGGCCAGAATGAATGCCCAAGAGAAGCTCTTGGGGCAGATTTGGAAGGGAATTTCAAAAGTGATCTGTTTGAAAGTTGAAATTTCTTTTCTTGGTCTTTAACTTTTCTGTCATCCCATATCCAGGATGAATTATTGGAAGAGCTAGAGGAACTAGAGCAGGAGAAATTGGCCCAGGGGTTGTTAAATGTGGGCAATGAGGAAGAAGAACCCCCAGTCAAATTGCCTAGTGTACCTTCTACACATCTGCCTGCAGGGCCAGGTAACCAGGACTATTTGTTGTCTGGAAGACTTGATGATGTGGGGAGATATGGGGTAAGACTGTTCCCCATCCATCCTGCCACATATGCAGGTTGTTGACTGTGTAATAGCATCTGACTAAAAGGGAGTGTGGATGAAATCCAGAATCCAACCTGTGCTCCACTCAGTGGAGTACTGCAAGCTGTGTACCCTGCTTTAGGGATGCAAATGCTGGGAACAGAAGGAAGCTTTTTCTAATTTGCATTAAGGTGCTGTGGGAATGAGTAGCAGCCTCAAAAGCAGGACTACACACCTTTAGGTTCTTTGCTGGGGAGACACACTTCAGTAGGCTCCAGGGTTCACAGTAGGGCATAGCTAGAAGTTACTGAGGCTTTAACATTTCTCCTTTCTTTTTCTGGGTGTCCTTGTCCTCAAAGCTCCCAAAGAGGATGAAGATGAAGAATTAAAACAGTTGGCTGAGTGGGTATCCTGAGTCTGGGTTTGTCCTCCTCCTGCTGCCTTCATTGGTCCCTTTTCCTTAAGTGCCAAATGCCAAGCTAAAGAAGCACAGCTTTTTTGGGAGGTCTTGCTGATGTGGTAGTATGCCTGTATGAGAAAGGGACCTGTTGCCCTTCCATCCCTGGCTGAACGCTGAAGGATCTTGCTGCAGGGACCCCTGGGCTCCATTCTCTTTGATAGCAGTTACAGTGCCCTTGATATCAATAAAATTGGGTAGATGGATCACCAGTGTCTATACTCTCTCACGTACACTTGAAACTCTTCTCTGTCTTAAAGCTGTTTTAAGCACTGAACATGTGAACAATGAGTCATGAGAAGGGGTTGGAACATAGAACAAATGGGTGTTTCTAAATCTCAACATGTATTCTAGGGAAATAACTTTACCTTTGAAGTTGGTTTATCCTAAAGGTGCCTAGTGTTGAGGGTAAGCAAACTTCCATGGATCCATCTCTAGTGTTAACTGCTTTTCTCAGTCATGACTTCCCCATTTTCCTTTGCAAAGCACATTTCAAGGACAGGGAGGGAGAATACAGGGATAGATAGAGCAACTAGCTTTCCTTTATCTAGAACTCACTAGTTCTTAGCTTTCATAACGAGAAGACTTGGTGTGACTTGAAGACTCTTATCACTTCTATGTCTGGGAGCAACAGTACAAGGAGTCCTGACTACCTGGTATTATTTCAATAGTAGTTAAGGTGGCACTGAAGGAAGGAGGAGCCAAAGTACTAAATATGGCCTAATACTCATTTGTGAAAGAACATACAATGCTATCATTTTGGACTATAGATAGGTAGAACTATAAAGTAGAGCTTTTGTCCCACTTCTTGAACATTAAGTGCATACTTAATTGGGTATTAATCTGAGTATCTGACACCCCCCCACACACACACACACCCACCACCCCCATGAACTGCATCGAATTATTGTTGACCTACACAAGTGTCAAGATTACTGGTTACAGGATCTGGCCAGAAAATCCACCCTAACTGATGAAACTGTCAGAATTAGATTTATTTTTGGTATAAAAGCCCCAGACCCTCCTACTTTGCTCCTCTCAGCACCTTGCCTTAGTTATTTTCAGCTCCTGCCTTCCAAAGACTGGCGACGACGATTACTGTTGTTGGGGGACTGGCACACAGCCTCAAGTAACCTGATCTCATATGTGGGTTGCTCAGGCTGGAATTTGACCACCCAGGGATCCTTGAGGATGTCCAGGATGGTGGCACGCTTGGTAGCTGGGCGTAGCATCCGGAGGACCAGGTTCTATGGCAGAGGAGAGAGAGGTCTTGGCTGAGCTTGCCCCCCATTGTGCCACACAGGCAATGAGCAGTTGGACCTAAGAAAGAAGCAAGATAGCCCATCACACCACTCTGGTGAAAGGGGGTATAGCCCTGCTTTTATGCTAGAGAGCCAGACATTTTCTGCAAGAGAAGGGAAGAATTGGGGTAGGATGGGGGAATCTCTTGCATAATCCCCTTCTGGCCTAAAGGAATAGAAGCTGGAACCACTTTATCAAGCATCTGTTTGGAGCCCAGTGGTAGACCCTTTAAGCCCTCCCCACTATATATTTAAGAGTGTGAGATAACCCAGTTGGAAGAGCCTTCCCCAGGATTGGAAGGCCTAGGTTCACTCTTCCCTGTGGGTCATCCCTAAGGCCTCAGCCCTCCTGGGGGAGCCAGCACCTTGCACTCCTGGGAGACGGTGCAGTTAGATGGGAAAGTGACCTCCTTCTGAGTCTCTTTCAGCAGCTTCTTGAGATTGGTGTCATCAAAGGGCAGATGGGCGACCACTAGAGTGTAGAGGATGACGCCCATGCTCCAGGTGTCAGACAGGAAAGGATTGTAGGGCAAGCCTAGCAAGATCTCCGGGCAGGCATAAGCAAAGCTGCCACAGTAGGTCTGGCTGAGGTGGGAAAATAAGTTCACTTGGCGGTAAGAAGAGCTACTACGCACAGGCTGGTTAGAAGGCACCATCTTGGAGAAGCCGAAGTCCGATATCTTCACATTCTCCCGCTTGTCCAGCAACAGGTTCTCCAACTTTAAATCCCTACTAGCAGCAGAAAGGCTGGGGGTCAGGCTGGGGAGAGGGCTTAGTATTAGACTGGGAGCTGAAGGGCCAGGGGTCAGAGGCAAAGTGGGAGGTATAGACCATTATGGGAGCACAAGGTAGTAAGGAAGGCCATGGAGCTGTGAGCAGAGCCTAAAGGAAGAGAGAGAGGATGGTACCTCAGGACCACTGGGAGTGTGAATACAGTGGGTACTTTACAAATATCCTTGACCAGTGATTAACAGAATGGATGAATGGGCCTAGATGTTGAGGAGAGGTTAAGGGAAGGAAAAAAAAAAAAGAGCAGCAAATGGGTGATATGCATAAAACCCCTTTGGGATCCCAAAGGCCGCAGTCTGGGTGGCTATGCCCTCACCGGTGCACGATGCCCTTGCTGTGCAGGTAGGCGATACCCAGGGTCAGCTGGGAGAACCACTTGCCAGCAAGGGGCTCAGAGCAGGCCCCAAAGCGCTGGATCCATTCAAGAACATCACCACCTTGAGCCAGCTCCAAAACGATGTACACTCGGGATGTTGTCTCAATGGCCTGATAGAAGTTGATGAGGTACTTGTGCCGCAAGACTTTCATTACCTGACCCCAGAAGAGGGAACCATCAAACCTGGGAAAGGAGAACCCTGCCTATACTCCCAACCCTCTCCTACCTTCCTGCTGCAACTTACTTAGAACTCCACAACAGAATCAATCCCTCAACTCCAGAGCACTGGTGGACTGTGAGTAAACCCTATTTTGCATTTTTACTTACTGGGAGGCTGGAGGCAAGTGGGCAGATGGGAAAGAGTTTGAATATATATTAAGGAATTTTCCCAGTTGCTTAGATGTTCAGATCTGATTTGGGGGTTTTGGGCTCTACCTGCTCCTAGTCATACCCCTTTTAAGAAATCTCAAGTCATTTAGTTATGAGTTTCCAGCCCTTTCTGACCTGTATCTCGCGGGGCAGGAACTTGTTAAGATAGTCTTCAGAGGCCTTCTTCTTTGAGATGATCTTGACAGCCACCATGACCTTCTGCTTTGTGTAGTAAGCCTCATACACAGTCCCATAGGAGCCATTGCCTATGACCTTGCCCACCTCATAACCATACTCTTCCATGACAGAGCGATAGGCTGCGGTGGGTGGTGCTGACTCCATGGTGTCTCCCTTCATGATTTTGGGTTTGCTTAAAGTAAGGAGTTTTGCTACTTAAGATGCCTCTGTCTATTCAGAGGCCAACACCTTGAGCCATTGATGGCTAAGGGACCAAAATCAAGTTGAGACTTTGAATGCTTGCATATATAGTCACACAAGTCTGGGATGCTGGGCTCAATCCTCCACTAAGAACTTGGAGTGGGAAAGAACAGAGAAGCAATTCTTTTTGTCTCCACTGGCTGTTGTTACTTCTTCTGTTACGGAACTTCCTAAGATCCCAAGTTCTGTACACATCACAATCCACTTTCTATCCATGATCACTGGCCACAAAGCTTGAGAATGTGTGGTTTGGAACATATTCATTCATAAAGGCATGTTCTGCAATCTGGTGAGACTCCCCCACAGAGACTCCCCATTACTTCAGATTTACTGAGCACTTTCTATGAACACTAAATTAATCAATAAGGTCAAGAGCAACCCTATGTACCTAGACTTTATAATTCAGCAAGACATACACGAGCATATTATGAAGAACTACTAGGTGTTAAAGCTCATTCCAGGATTTTTTTTTTTTTTTTTTTAAATCGGGAATTGTACACAGGGGGCTTAACCACTAAGCCATATCCTCAGCACCCCCCACCCACCGCCGTGTTTCTAAATTTTATTTTACAGATAGGGTCTCACTGATTTTCCGAGGCTGGCTTTGAACACCTAATCCTCCTGCCTCAGCCTCCTGAATTGCTGGGATTATAGGCCTGCACCACCATGTCTCGCTCATTCTAGAAACTTGACACTGAAAGGCATTCTTGCTTTTCAGGACCCTAAATTTTCTAGTTTTCTTCTCATGCTTCTGGTCATTCCTTCCACAGGAGCCTCATCTATCTTTTTTTTCCCCCTCACAGTGCTGAGGGTTGCACCCAAGGCTTTGTACATATTAGGCAAACAATCTACCACTGAGCTACAGCTCCTCCATCTATTCCTTAATCGTATCCCAAGCCCAATTATCTCAGATCTCCACTTCCTTTCTTAAGGATCTCATCCCCTCCCAAGGCTTCAATTACCATGTTTATGCTGACTGCTCCTAATCTCATCTGCACCTCAGATATCTCTGTGGTTTTGGATACAGTGCCCACTTGCCTACTAGACATCACAGATATCAGGCACCTCAAACTCATCATGCACAAAACTGAACTTCTTATTTTCATCTCTGACTTTTCCTTTCTGTAAGTTCTACACTAGTTGTCTTTAGACACACAAATGTCATCCCAGATTCCCCTGCTGCTTTGGTCCCTACATCCAATCTATCACCAAGTCCTGTCACTCAAACCTCCTAAATATATCAACAATGTACTCATGGTTCTCCAAGTCCACCATTCCTCCCTTACTTCAAGCCTCAATCATTCAACTGATTATCCTAGCAAGTCTCTGCTCCCCTAAGTCTGTCTATTCACTGAAGTCCATGGGATAAATCTGATTTTCTTCCCATTTAGAACAATTCAATGTCTTCTTATTCACCTCAGGATTGTTTCTTTTCTTTCTTTCTTTTTTTTTTCCATTTGGCTTTAGGATAAACCTGCCCACTTCTCCAACTTTTATTTTTGGTACTGCATACTAAGGATTAAACCTAGGGATGCTTTACTACTGAGTTATATCCTCAGTCCTTTTTATTTTTGAGACAGGGTCTCACTATGTTGCTGAGACTGGCCTCAAACTTTCCTTCCTTAGTCTCCCAAGTCACTCGATTAAAGACATGCACACCTCACTTAGTGCTCCAACTTTCATCTTTTAACGCACACATAACAATGTGCCAACCAAACAGAACTGCTTTTCCATCTTTGTTCTGTTTGCCTAGAAAACTCCTATTCTTCTTTCACTAAGTTTGGGATTTTTTTTTTTTTTTGGTCTTGCTTAGTGGTAGTGGGTGGAGGCTGAAGTCCAGAGCCTTGTGTATGCTTGGCAGGACAATTCCCACTGCCCTTTCCTAATGAGATAGGTTCACTAAGTTGCCCAGGTTGGTCTCAAACTACTGTCTCAGCCTCCTGACCAGCTGTGACTATGGTGTGGAGCTGTTTTTAGGAAGCCTTTATTGACAGCTCAAGGTTAAGTTAGTTCTGGGTATGCTCACAGCTCTGATACTTTCACTGTCACAGCACCCAAAGAGTATGCAAAACTGATTTTCTTGTTTGTATCTCCTATGAGGCTAAGCAGGGAGTCCGGTGATGCAAAGAAAGTTGAAGTCAGAGGTTTGAAAAGAATGAATTGTAGAGAATGGAAAGGACCTGGTTTAGAAATGAACAGTGACTGGTTAGCAATGAAAGTCCAAGCGAGGCTGGAAAATAAAACTTAGAGACATACAACAATGTTGAGATTCTTTTAGCATCTTAGCTGTAGGTGCTTGAATACTGGTGGATAATTCAATCTAAGATTACAGTTTTGTTTGGCAACTAAAATGAAATAATGGTAGAGGCACCAAGAGCACAGGCAAGAATGTGGTCACAATAATGGAATGTGGAATCTACACTATATAGGTAAGGAAGACAAGCTAGAAACAGACCAAAAGGGCAGAAGGATAGGTTGCAGGTCTCAGTGGAATGGAAGAACAAGTTTGGTGGAAATGACAGTGAGGAGGACAGGAGGCTGTAGTCCCAGGTTCTTTGGATTTAAGATGGGAGGGGTGGACAGGAAAGAGCAAGGATTTAGTCTCATGTCTTCCATCCCCCAAAACAAAACAAAAAGAACAGATTATGCCACAGGCTACTGGTAAAATTCCCCTACTGACAGTCTGACCCTGCTGGCAGTATAGTTCCAAAGTTCTGCTGGAAGTCAGCTCTACATCCTCAATCTATCAAGGAACACCAATGGTAAGAAAGCCTGTCTTTTGCTCCCACAAAACTGGTCCCTGGATAGATAGGTACCTTAGTGATAGCTCTAGTCCCTCACGTGTTTAGGGAGTAAAACAGTTCACTCAAGGAGCATGTATTAAGCTGCCTAGTATATATGAAAACATTGCTAGATCCTGAAGATACAAAAACAGATATATCAGTCTCCTTTGAGGAGTTAGCAATTAACAAGGGATTTTATATAAATAAAATGACGGTACAGAGAGATGAATTGCTATGAACAAACCTGGAAGGAGAGGGGAAAGAAGGCTTTATAGAGATGGTGTTGTTTGTACTGCCCCCCAAAAAAAGTTCTCCAGGCAGGTAAATAGGAAATGGTAGATTGGGCAGTCTATGTAGGAAGAACAATATGAGGCCTGCAGGCTTGAGAGAACACCATGTTCAGGATTTGAACTCAAGTACAGGACAGAACTCCAGAAAGGGACTATACCTTAAGAAATTCTTTCCCTCCCTCCCTCCCTCCCTTCCCCTTAAGAAATTCTTTCTTTCTTTCTCTCTCTCTCTTTTCTTTCTTATCTATCTATCTAATCTCAGAACTAGAATACAGGTCTGAGAGGGTTCATATGTTAAGCTATTTACACTTTATCTCATATACTCAGGGTCAAATCTTGTTGTGCATCAAGATTGGAGCTTGTTCAAAAAAATAAAAAAGCTGACATATAGCAAGCCCTCCCCTGAGATCCAGATTTTTAAAGATCCTTCCAGTAGCAGTGTGAAAAATGATCCAAGGGAGAGTGACCACACTAACAAGATGGCTGTTACAGTAACTGAGGTGAGAGAGGATGGAGCTCTTTCCAAAGAAATGGTGGAAAGCAAGTATTGGAAGATATTTGGGCAATAAGTAGAGGGAATTTAATGACACTGATATTTGGGAGAATTGAGATCAAGGTCCTATTTCTGGTTTGAGACACCAGGTAGTTGTGATGATTTCAACTGGACCAATGGTGAATGCCCATAATCCTAGTTGTCAGGAGGCTGAGGCAGGAGGATCATGAGTTCAAAGCCAGCCTCAGCAACTTATCAAGGCCTTAAGCAACTCAGGGAGACCCTGTAGCAAAATAAGGTATTTAAAAAAGATTATTTCCAAGTTACTGTAAGTTGCTTTTGGGGGGGGGGCGGGTACTGGTGCTTTATCAACTGAGCTACATTACCTAGACTTTTTTATTTTTATTTCTTAATTTAGGACAGGGTCCTGCAAAATTTCTGAGGCTGGCCTCAAATTTGGGCCCAGCTTATAAATTACTTTTGTAGTTACAAAAATCATTCATTATTGAGTCTGTTCCGTGCTGCACATCTGTAGTCCCAGTTCCTCAGGCCGCTGAGGCCCGGAGGATCACTTGAGCCCCAAGTTCCAGGCCAGAATGGGAAACATAGCAAGACCCCTTTGGGGGGTGGGGAAAGAATGACAAGAAAAATCATAGTCTAATAAACTCAAACCCCTACTTCCTGAAACTTCACCTGTTTATAGGGAGAAAGGCTGAGTCAGAGAGAGCAATGACAGAGGTGGGTAAATAAAGGAATTCTGAGGCTTGAAGCCTCTTAGGATTTTTCACAGTACTTCTTTCCCTAGGGAGAGAGAACTTTAAGTCAACTTCCATACAAGTTATTCCCAGGTAGCCAAGCATAAGTCATTGCCTAGAGGTCGGACTTCCGGAAATAACTCCCCTGACTGCAGAGCCCATTTAAAAATAGCTGAGACAAGCAGGTCCTAATTACATGCCTGTAATTACGGTTGGGGGCTGGGGCAGGAGGATCACAAGATCTAGACCTGTATGGGCAACCTAGCGAGATCCTGTCTCAAAATAAGATAAAATAAAAAGGACTGGGGCTGTAGTTCAGTGGTAGAGCATGGGGAATGGGGGTTACATCCCAGTACTAAGAACAAAAGCTGAGGCAGACAATGACAAAGTTTTTCAAAATAATAAGCATACAAAATTAAGAGAATCCCAAATAATAAACCCAGAGCATGTATCTAGAGATCTAAGCACAAACGTATCTAGAGAGACGAAAAGTCAACCAGATTCTTTACCTCCAATTAAAAACCCTATAAGCAGCCCAACTCGCCGATGGAAGTGAGACACCCTATCTCCGCGTGCCTCTGCACCTGACCCGGCTCCGGCCTACTTATCGCCAGGTACTGAATAGTCGTCGTACGGCCAGGGAAGCCTCCAGCAGCTTTGGGAAAACACTTCAAATATTTATCATTCTTACGCGGAGCCACTGTTGATAGATGGAAGGAATGAGGATATTCAGGCGTAGTACCCTTGAATGAGACCGAAGTGCAAATCCTCACCCAGCTTGGGTTGGGGGCCACCAACCGCCTCCCAGGGCTCGCCCCGGCAGTCCCATTGGTTCAGCCCGCAAACGCTTCAGGGCGTCCACTGGACGGGGACTCAGCCACCGCCAATGCTCCATTTCAGGCCTCCGACCGCTCAAGCCAAAGGTGGGCGCTACCTGCCCGGGCTCTCGCGCCCTAAATCTTCCTGGGGACAGGCGGACGGCGACTCTTATCCAAAAAGGATGTTGCATGCTAACTACCAGGTCTTGGTAGAATGCAGTCCGCGAAACAAACGCACAGCAAGAGACCCGCTAGGATCCAGAAAGGAACCTTCCGCCGGGCTGAGGTCCCCGCCCGTGAAGACGGAAGTGGTAAGACTGACGTGTCCTGGGCTGCTCTCCTGAACGCCAGGAGGACTCCCCACCA